CCAATGTGGGTGTTTCTTGACCAGTGGCTCTCTACCAGGCTTCAGGGACCCAGTCTCCTCCATCTCTTACTTCTATCATTCTCTAGGGCCTTAGTTGTGTTTGCATCCCATGATGGATTGGGGGTTGAGAGTGCTCAGGCTCATTGGCTTCCTAAAATCCTGGGCCTAGACATGGCTCAGTCACTTCTGCTCTCATTCCGTTGGCTGGAACTCAGTCACATGGCCACACCTCACTGCAAAGGAAGCTGGGAAACGTACTTTAGTAATGTACCCAGGAAGAGTAGAAATGAATTTTGCTGGACACCAAACAGTTTCTTCCACATTTTTGAATAATCCTTCTTGCAATCTATGTCTTTCTGATATTAATATAGCTATATAAGCTTTCTTGTGAAGTTTGTCTGTCATATGGTTTTCTATCCTTCTATTGTAACTTTTTTTTGTTTCCTTCTGTTTTATGTTTTTTCCTAAAAAGTGTATGTTTAGATTAAACTTTTACAAACTGGTAACATCAGTGTTTTGTTTGTTTTTTGAGACAGAGTCTCACTCTGTCACCCAGGCTGGAGTGCAGTGGTGTGATCTTGGCTCACTGCAACCTCCGCCTGCCGAGTTCAAGCGATTCTCCTGCCTCACCCTCCCAAGTAGCTGGGATTGCAGGCACCTGCCACCACACCTGGCTAATTTTTTTTTTTTTAGAGACGAATTTCCCTATGTTGGCCAGGCTGGTCTTGAACTCCTGGGCTCAAGTGATCCACCTGTCTCAGCCTCCCAAAGTACTGGGATTACAGGTGTGAGCCACCACACCTGCCCAGTAACACCAGTTTTAACTGCAAGTTTTGCTTATATAAATTTATTCTGATCATTTAAATATTTAGACTTTTTCCTAGCATCTTTATGCTTTCTATTTTTTCTTGCATTTTTCATGCTTTTTCTACTTTTCTTAACTTTAATAATTGACTTGAAAAACTATCCCTCCCAATGATTTGTATATACTCTTGTCATAACTCTCGACATTTAATTGTGCCTACATAGCTTAACAAGTCTAAATGTATTAAATATTTTAAAACTTCCCCTCATGAAAACATAAGGACCTTTAGACTACTTTCATTCCAATTATCCTTCCTTTTGAATACTGTTGATCAATAGCAATGAAAAGGATTGTAAGTGTGGTGTTTCAAGCCTGCCCCGTGACTTATTCCACCAAGTTAGGAGTTTAGTGGGGTCTGAGTGTATTGTGCTTACTTTCTCTAATGTCATGCTGCTTTCTGAGTAAGAGGTGATACAGGTCACTTTTCAGTACATTCTTTGATCTGCTCCCTTCTATACTATATCTTGCAGAAATATCTGTGGATGGCTTCTTTCCCCACTCTCAAATCCTGCTGCAGGATTTTCCTTGTCTTCGTGTCCTTTTGATTATTATACTAACATGGAGGCTTTATTAGGGAAGAGATTGGGTTTGTTTCGCACACTCCAGCCCAGTATACCATGATAAAGAGCAGACTACTTCACTGGAGCAAAATGTGAATATGATTTCTGTTTTAAATCTTGGCAAAAACAAATAAACTAATTTTTAAAAATGTTATGAAATATAAAATATTGACCCAAAGAGTGTAGTTGTTATACTCTTTCCATTATGATATACAGGGCAATATTATGTGATAAGCATGAGGTAATTGTTGAATGCGTCCAATGATGGCATTTCATAAGGAGGGTGTACTGCTTTATATATTTGAAACCTAATGAGAAAGTGTCTGCATTTAACATCAGAAGCTACCGTTTTCTTAAAGACAAAGGCCTTTAAAACAGTTTACTGCTTAGAGTTCATAGCACACTGATGTAACTTAGTTCAGAGTGTATTTTGGCAACTCCTCAGCTGAGAAAGAACAGTGGATTTTGGAAAACAAGGCCTTAAGAAGACTTGTCATTTTAAGACTAAGTTTTAAGAGTGTTAAAGTTTAAAATCTTAAACTTTAGAGAAATGGAATCTTGAAATTACTGATTAGTTCACAATGGCAATAATTATGGAGAAATTAGTCTGTAATAAAACTTGGCATTGAGTGCAAAGACTACCATTTTTGAGCAAAGCATAGAAAGGTTCCAAGTGGGGCAGGACAAAGAGTGGGAGGCGTGGACATTTCCAGCGTCAGGCGCTGCTGCTGCTGTTTCTACCTAACAGGCAGTGGCAGAGAACTGTTTCAATAACTCTTCCAAACACCGTCTGAGACCTCACTTTTTGAGAGCTGAGTGTTCTAGGTATGCTATTTTAGGGCACTGATCTCTTTAGCTGTAGCTTAACCCTGTGGATAGGTGATGAGAGTCAGCTGCTTCTCCTTCAGGTTCCTAATCTTGGCTTTATCACCCCTAAGATTACTCTTAGTTCCCACTAGGATGATGGGCATGTTGGAACATGGTGGTGAATATCAGGATACCACTATTTTCAAATGATGCAGGACTCACAAAGGAAAAGCAAATAAAGAATTCACCTGTTTGCAGATAGGATAGGAAGCGTAATCCATCATACTCTCCCGTCCAGTTGTATCCCATGAGCCCAAATTCACTGGTTTTTCCATCCACTGTAACATTGGTAGAATAGTTGTCAAAGACAATGGGGATCTCTTCTCCAGGAAGTGCACTGGTGTGTATCTGAACAGTAGGTAAGTTTTATCTACAGATCTGTCTTCTACCATTGTACATGTGACAGCCTGCATCTAGGCCACTCACTGGCTGGGCACAGATGCAAGATGCAGCAGGTGCGGGATTCAGGTCCAGCATGTTTGGAATTCGAGGGTATTGGACATAGTGGAATATTATATGGTCTACTCTGATTTATCCAGTGTAATGCAAATTATTGTAGTAAGTAAGACTTGCATCTGAAGTAGTTTTCATGAAATAGGCTGTGGGTGGGTGTGCTCCCAGACTGGCATTAGTGGTGCCAGTGATAAATAGCAATTGAGTATAAGACCCAAGGTCTTTCTACCACCTTCAGCACAAGGTAATAGAAGGATCTAGAATGATGGTCATAGGACCAAGATTTAAATTTCACTTCCTTTGTGAATAAATCTGTGACTCCGGGCAGGTGTTTGTTAATCTTTCTGAGCCTTAGCTTGAACATTTCTAAAATGGAGATAATAACACCAACCTACAAGGATTATTGCAAAAATATAAATCAATGTGACTAAATGAAGAGAAAAAGGTAAGATGTATTACAAACTGTAAAGTAACTTGAAAATGAAAGTAATTCATGTAGCAAGCATTTTGAGGAATTATTGTGCACATAAATTGTATGAAGAATGTTAAAAGACAAAATTAAAACTAATTAAAGTATCTCAATTGGCTTTTATTCATGACTTTAGAATCAGGCAGCCCTCTGAACCAGAACAGGTTCAAACAACTTCAGTCTGCCAGGTGCTCGGACAGCATTTATGGACAGAAAACGGAAATGAGGTACAGATAATGAAAGCATGGGACAGAGACAGCTTGATTGGTTACAGCTCAGCGTTTGCCTTATTTGAACATAGTTTGAACGGTTGGCTACCTGCAATTGACTGAAGTTTGGCCACTGTGATTGGTGGAGACTCAGCTGTTTGTTGCAAATGTATACCCTTAAGCTAGGCTTCCGGTAAACTTATGTGCAAGTCAGGTTGCAATCTATGTTAGGACTCTTGTACAGAGGCATCTTCAGGTCAAATTTAGTTTAATTTAACAAAGGTGAAAGCAATTTACCAGGTATATCTTTAAGTGTTTCCTGTCATTTTAGTCTGCCAGTTGAGAAGTTTCTGTGGAAAAGCTTTCCTCTGAAATCCATTCTACATAGTAATATTTCCTTATCCCATTGGCTGGATTTTATTTTATTTTATTTTTCTTTTAACTTTTATTTTAGGTTGAGGGGTACATACATAGGTTTGTTACACAGGCAAACTTGTGCCATGGGGGTTTGTTGTACAGATTATTTTGTTACCCAGGTACTAAGCATAGTACCTGATAGATATTTTTTTGTCACCCTCCCCCTCTTCCCACCCTCCACCTTCAAGTAGGCCTCAGTATCTGCTGTTCCCCTCTAAGTGTCCATGTGTTCTCATCGTTTAGCTCCCACTTATAAGTGAGAACATGCAGTATTTGGTTTTCTTTTCCTGTGTTAGTTTGCTAAGATCTCCAGCTCCATACATGTTGCAGCAAAAGACATGATCTCCTTCTTTTTCATGGCTGCATAGAATTCCATGGTATATATGTGCCACATTTTCTTTATCCAGTCTAGTGTTGATGGGCATTTAGGTTGATTCCATGTCTTTGTTATTGTGAATAGTGCTGCAGTGAACATACACATGCATGTGTCTTTATGGTAGAACAATTTATATTCCTTTGGATACATACCCAATAATAGGATTGCTGGGTCTAATGGCAGTTCTGTTTTTAGTTCTTTGAGGAATGGCCACATTGCTTACCACGATGGCTGAACTAATTTACACTCCCACAGTGTATAAGCATTCCCTTTTCTCTGGATTTTAGAAATAGATAAGGATTTTAAAATATCAAAGAACATAAGGATTTTTCAACACTTGCTCCTTGATTTTATTAATAAAGAGAGAACTGTGCCAAGAGTGCATGCTTCAGTGAGAAATAATGAGGGAAAATTGTTCAGAGGGTTTACTTGGTTAAGTGGAATTAAGCTAGCCTGTAATTTCTGTATTAAACTGCTGGTAGTTGGGAACCAATATTTGGAGCTACTCATTAAATAAATTACCTAGATTAAGGAGTTTTCCATGATTATAAACACAGGGAAGGATGAATGTCTTTAAAACCTATAGTCTTTTAAAATAAAGACTAATGCAAGGTTGCTGAACAAGCAGTCCTAGACCCTGGCCTCAAGGCCCACAGAGACTGTTGATCAGGGCCCTCCCATCACAGGAGAGAACTGGAATGGAGCTGCTGGGAGTCAGGATAGAACTGCTGCTTCTGTCTCTCTGGGTGTGCGCAATCTTTGATTGGCATGTGAACTCCCTGACTCTGTTTCTGTATCTCTGAAGAGGAGTCTGAACACTGATCAGGACAGGAGTATTAGACGTGTCTGGCTCAGGATGCAGTTACAAACAAAGCTGATTCAACAAGGCATGGTGAGTTCTTCTTAAATGTCCATGTACGCAGATCACCTGGGGATTTCGTTAAGCTGCAGCTTCTGGCTCAGGAGCATCCGGAGTATGATCTCATGTGTGCATTTCTGATGATGCTGGCCTACAGATCACACTTTCAGTGGTGAGGGCTTTAACAATAAAGAAAATGTTAGCTCGTTTAATTTGAAGACTCAGGAAAAGTATTGACTTCAAATAAGGCTTGTAACAGTTGTTCAATAATGTCATGAAAGTGCTGTTTTTTTTAACTTCTTCCTGTGTTCTGTAAAGTTGGCTTCACCTTTGGGCTGGCTTTCCTCACGGGACCAAGATGACTGCCTGCAGTCCCTGAGGCTTTGGTTCATACTTCCTTGGGTGTGAACAGCAGAAAATTTGTCTCCAGTATTACCAACAAAATTGCTAAGATTCATTTTGATTGTACAGATGAAATAAATTGATTTGTTTAACTACAAGTGGAGCAAAGCTGGAGTGAAATTTCTGGAGCCTATAGAAATCAGGGCTATGAGAAGGGGAGGGTTTGCTGGGGAGGAAACCAAGAAATATCCTCTGTAGAGTCAAATAAGATAAAAGTTTTGATCAAAATTAACAAACGTAACACACACAAAGAGAGAGAGAGAGAAGGGAGGGAGAGAAAACATAGTTTGCCTATTTCTTCATCTGATTTGGGAAGCTTCTGAGTCAGGAAATGTTAGTTTTTGTTTATATCAAATACGTTTTGGAAATCATGACACCCTTTTAGGGATCTCTTTGGCATATTTTATTTATTAGTTTAAATAAGAATGTGGCTTTGTGTCAACAAGATTCACTAACAAGGGTTGGATTGAATAATATCTCTATAAAAAGATCGGAAAATCCAGAGCAGGAGGAAACTTTTAAAGGTTTTGAGGTCTGTTTTTATCTTATAATTACAAATTTAACTTTGTTGTCCAGATAGAATTGGAGGGAGATAAAGGAAGTGTAGAATTCAAATAATTGTAGCAAATGAGAATATAAAGACAGAGTATGCAGTCAAACTGGGCATGAGGCTACTCTTCCCAGTACAGAAGCAATGGTTTGTTAACTAGGATAAACACAAATTAAAGTTAGGAGAGTTACTGCAGTTAATAGTGGTGAACTTCTTGCTAATCTTGCAGTAAGGGGAATCCAATTTTACATTCATGCCTTAAGAGAGGCTCAGAGGAAAAGAATAATATTATATCTTAGCACAATTATACTAGATACCCAGACGGGTGAAGCTATATGTTTCTCACCTTCATCTTGCTTCTGGAACCTGACAAGGTGGAATAGAAGCCTGCAAACCTGAGTAGTGCTGCTCTGGGAAACATTCTGGTCATACGATATGATGAACTGGACTAGTGGTTAATGAGTGAGTAGAGCTCCAGTAATAAGTCAATATCTCTGACTCTTATTTTTCAGGTTTTATCTACTACAAAGGATATCATTTGGGAAGGAATTTCTGGGAACTGCTCCCAAGAGAGCCATTGGACCATGTGGTAAACAACTCCTAGCTGATAGATTATTGGGTAAAGATAAACCTGGATGATCCCGTGCTTAGAAAGGTTCCTGATTATAATGAATAAGACGTAGCGGTGGCATGCCCAGTATACCATAGTGTGCTAGGCACAAATATACATCACCCTTGTTTTTGTGGATGGCAAACTATTAAACAGAATAGGAAAGAACGGTGGATTCCTGATGGGAGTAGAACAGTAGGTACCACGTAGTGATTCTGACTTCCTCTGGGAATAGCCCCACCCTGAGGTGAAGAAGGCTATAGCAGGCCTGGTATACAGAAACTAAATTATGTCTACCTGTGTCTTGTATGGTGGACTCAGCATTTTGGGTACAAAACGTGTATTTTAGTTGCACTCAGGCTGTTAGTACCCAATGGCGACAACATGAATGGTAGAACACAGCACTGGCCTATGAGACAGAAAGGTGCTTTAGGGGAGATATCTTCTAGTTGAGGCTTCATGGAATGAACTGACTTTGCTTTTAGTGAGGAGTGGCATTTGGAGAAAAAGACTTATTAACTAGTATGAGCAGATTAAAGGGAATTCCCTTCCAGGAGGAATGCAAGAAATGAGAGTCAGCCTGGACAGGTGATGAGGCTTTAGTGAAGTAGGACAGGCCAACTCACAAATAATGCTGGATAATGCTAGGACCCAGTGTTGGGAAAGCCTTGTACCCAGACACAACAGGGTCTCTTGATTATTTTAATACAGACAGAGACCGAAGTAGCCATGGAGCAGTGGCCCTCCATTCTAGCTGTTGAGGCCCGGGAGGCACACGTATGGGAATCTTATGGCTCTTCACCCGTGGGAGTCCTCTAGGAATACTTGCAATTTACGCTGATGCAATGTGACTGCCCTTGCTCTAGGATAGATCAAAATAAGACATATCCTAAAGTACTGTTTTCAGAGGGCGGAACTGTTCTGAATATTACCATGTCCTCCCTGTAGCAGGGAGGTGAGCCCTGCTATGTGACAGCACACAATAAAATCTGGTCTTAGTACAAGCCTCTGAACCGAGACAGGGTGAATGGCTTTGTCTGTAGCTGACCTGGACCGTAGAATAACCAATCATGACCAGTTGTCACGGTGCCTATTCATAGTAATATATGGTATATGGGCAAGGTTGATTATCTTGTGAAGGGATAGCAAATATGTCTGTAATTCTTAGTGATTTGTTCTGTAATAAAGCTGAACTATACCATGGTCATACTGGGATATAGCATAACATTGGCACTGCTGGTAACATTCAATTACCTTATGTAAATAGGTCTTATGATAACACTGACATTGATGATCAACTGTATTGGGAGATTTACTTAGAAACTCCTCAGAATTTATGACAGGAGGCGTTGGACCACAGCAGACAGTCTAATAATGTAATTTATGATAGGGACTTTGGCTTACATGGTATCTGCTCTACCACAGGAAAGGTTCCAGAAGGGCTGGAGACTAAAGGTATCAGCTCGACCTCTGAAGGAGATAGAAATTGAAGGTCAACTATGTGTGCAGTTAGTCATGTCTTTGTAATAAAATCTCTGGACACCAGAGCTCAGGGGAGCTTCCCTGGCTGGTGGTATTCCATGCACAATGTCACATGTTATTTTCAGGAATATTAACACCGTTCACAACGCTATGGGGAGAAGACAACTGGAAGCTCCGTGTGGACAAACCTCCTAGACTCTGCCCCACGTATCTCTTCCCTTGGCTGATTTGAATCTGTATCCTTTCACTGTGATAAACCATAACCATGATTATTACAGCTGTCAGCAATTTCTTCTATTGAATTGTCAAAACTGAGGGTGGTCTTGGGAACCCCTGAACTCTATTGTTGGTGTCAGGAGTGAGGGAAGTCTTGTGGACTATACTCCCTGACCTCACAGGTGCATTTTCCGACTTTATTTGGACCATTCTTTCCTCTCCCCAACAATATCATCCCCTTCTTCAAATATGTTTCTGCTACAAACATTATCCTTTAAATGGTTCCTTCGCTGCCATTATGACTATGGCGTAATCTGTAGTAAAGCACCACTAAGATGCTAATACAGATGTATGCGTGAATTAAAAAGTGATGCTAAATACATAGTAACCAATTTACTTCACATTAATAATTTAGCTATTTTTATTTGTTCCTAAACAAAAAGCAAAGAGGATCCAGTTCACAGAGCAGTTGCAACGTGTGCACAATTTTTATTAAACCAAAATGAAATCTTTTAAAGTTCTTGGGCTATGGAAGTCACCTAAATTCACTTCTTTTTTCCTATGAAGCTTCACTTTTTTTCCTTCCGATTCTAGTTAGAAGCTGACAGCCGACACGCCCTTCCCTCCTGCATTTTATCCTGGGGCAAAATGAGAAGACATCCTTCAGTGCCCTTAAGTACTATTCCTTTTAGTAGGAAATCAAACACACCCCCTAACTGGAGTACTATTTATTCTATTCCATCTGTTTCACATAAGAGCAGTAAAGTGATTGGAAGTGAAATGAAAAGAAAGAAAATGGCAAGACATGCTGCACAAATAACTTTCAAAGACTCATAAATTGCACATCTTGAAGATCTTTATGCTTGAGAATACTGGGCATCTGTGATCCACAAAACACTTTACAAACTAATATTCTTGGCCCCCATTTTGTAACTGGCAAAAAAAGGAGGTAGGCAATAATAAGGACATTATTCAGAGTCATGGAGGAAGTCACGAAGAGCGCCAGATACAGAGCCAGTTACCCTGGTAACATTCTTCTGTTTTTCCATTCCTGCATGCCTTGGTATTGGGTTTCAGTTGTGGTTATTTAACCTATAGACTGATCATATATTCAGCTTCCACAATATGTCATGGGCATTTTCCTCTGGATTTGGCTGTCTTTCTCCTAATTCTCCTTTCACTATTTTCACTATGTCAGATGTACCACTTCAGGAAAATATGGTTATATGACAATCTAAACACAGAAAGTAGACAAGGCCACCTGGTGATGGTTCACGTGTAAAAAGATTACTCACTTAAAAAAGAATTCACAAAATTCTTTTAATCATCTCTTCTAGGTCACCACAAGAGATTTAATTTAAAAAATTTACAAACAAGTTTGAGAAACATTTCTATTTCAAAAAGCAATGTCTTCAAACGTGCTGATACCCATTTCTTACTCAATTTTTATGTGAGATTACAATAAGATAACTTAAAATATAAAATAATTATATAATAAATATAAGTATATAATAAAGTAGTTTTAAATCTATAAAGTCAAAATTGCTATACATTTTTATGCTTATAATCCTTGCAGAAACCTAGAACAAATAGAAAATTTCAAATTATATACCCCCCAAAAAATCTTTCCAATAATGAAATTCAAAGTACATTCTTTACCTTAATATAGTGGATAATTTTTTTTTAAGTGGAAGGATGTACGCTTTGTAAAAATAAATACGGTGCTGACTGCCATAGCATAGGTATCTGTATCTGGCAAGTATTTACCAGTGAGTGCTGTGTGATGGCTCAGTTTCATTATCATTTTCTCTAGTGGCACACCTGAATAAACTTCCTTTGCATGGCTGTTGGTCTTTGAGTGGCATGAACACATCATATGCTGTTATGGTTTGGCTGTGTCCCCACCCAAATCTTATCTTGAATTCCCATGTATTGTGGGAGGGACCTGGTGGGAGGTAATTGAATCGTGGGGGCAGGTCTTTCCCGTGCTGTTCTTGTGATAGTGAAAAAGCCTCATGAGATCTGATGGTTTTAAAAAGAAGAGTTCACCTGCACAAACTCTCTCTCTTTACCTGCTGCCATCCATGTAAGATGTGACTTGCTCCTCCTTGCCTTCCACCATGATTGTGAGGCCTATCAAGCCATGTGGAACATAAGTCCATTAAACCTCTTTCTCTTCCCAGTCTCAGGAATGTCTTTGTCAGCAGCATGAAAATGGACTAATACATACGCTTACCAAGGACACCTCAATTTTTTTCTCATTAGCTTATCAACAAGAATTAATTTACCAAGAATTCCTCAATGCCAGTGAGATTCTGAAATCTCACAGTTGTACTTGATTATAAATTACTTATTCACATGATCCAGATTTTACATGGGTTAATTTTTTTTAGATAATCATCAGAATGAAAACATAAAATTTAAAAAAGCAGAAATGGGACTACAAAGATTGTTACATGTTCTCAGGATCCCTGAGCCAGGCTTGAGAAATGCTTTTTTAAAGATGCCCAGGCACATGCATTTTGGTTTAACAATACTTGATTTACTAATAGTTCTCATCATGCAGTAATTTAAGTATTTCATTGTATTGTTATAAGAATTAATAAAATGTTATATATGAAAATATTTTGCAAGTTATAAAGCATTGCAAATGTATGTAGTTAATTTTTTCTACCTCTTTCATTTCTTCCTCAAAGACTATGTAAGACATACACAGTCTTTTGATATATTTCCCTTTTAAAATTTTGTCGCCTTGGTCTTTTTCATTAGAGTATTGATCAGCTGTCATCCAGTACTTCAGAGGCAAACTTCATCTGACTACTTACCACATTGACAGATGATACTGATAAACCCTTCATGATTTCCTGGCCATTTGGCAAAGCGTTTGAAATAATGATTCAAAAGGGGGCTTCTTGAAAACCTTCTTTTGGAGTATTAGAGGTTTAACTGATTCCATCTGATAATGGTGCTGTCTGCAAAGAGATACATGGAAGCAGTACACGGTGCTCAGGTTATATGTGTTGGGAATGGAAACACTTCATCACAATCCTGCTAATTGTATTTAAAGCAGATGGGGAAAGGGAGCCAAACATCAGAGTTTGTTATGCTGCAGACACTTAATACACACCGGGCGGATTGCTGGCATTCTTTTCCCATTGTGCAGGGGGGAAACTGAGGTTCAGAAAACTTCAGTAATTTGACTAAAAGCACAGAAGGAACTGGAGCAAGATTTGATTCCTGGTCCTGATTTCCAAGTGCATATCATTTCCCATATGTCTGGCTATGGAAGAGGGAGGGAGAATGCAGGAAACAGCAAACCCGGGTCTTGGGCTGAGAAAACGGAGCTTCCCAGACTGGCATTTGCCAAATCACGTGTGGCCTCAAATCCAGTTCTCCAAGACAGAATTTCCTGCTCCCTACACCCCTTCCTCCCTTAGTTATATCCACTTTCCTCCATCATTGGCACCATCGTTCAGTGTCAGCTTCTTCCTGGAAAACTAGTTTGCCTTAAAAACTTGCGCAGAGACTGTTTTTTGCTCTCTCTCTCTCTTTCTAGAACTGACCTCTCTAACTCAATAGTTAGACTCTCGAGTCCTTGAAATTGAGCACAGGTATGGGCTACCACAGTAACACCAATACAAATGCTAACATTTCCTGAGTGACTACAGTGGGCCAGGCACTGTGTTAACTGCTTTATATGTATTATTTCATTTAATCCTCACCACAACCCTCTGTAGTTCCTACTATTAATGCCATTTTATAGATGAGAAAACAGAGGCATAGGAAGACCCAGCCATTTGTCCACGGTTACGCAGCTGAAATAAGGCCATAGTAGACTACAACCCATTGTCATTCCATCCCCAGGGCTTTGTGTTGTCTTTCTGAGCAAACTTGGGTGAATTCTCGTGACTATGAGTTCATAGGTATGTGCTGCATACACATCTTATTTCCTGTCTCTGGTTGCAAAGTTCTGGTCCAGGAATCAAGTGTTCAACTTTCCATGTAGCTCCCATAGTACAGAGCAGTTCTGAGCAAACAGCAAGTGTTTAGTGAACAGGGTTGACTTTTACTACATGAAACACTAATGTCCAGTTACCTACTTGTGAAGGCAGAGGGAAGTAGCATATTCCAAGTGTCGTGTTGATCCTCAGAGTATATTAAAAGGGAAACCAGACTTTGTCTTAGAGAAACTAAACTAACATTAAATAATGTTATGGGCTCCATTGTGTTTTCCCCTTCCCTCATATAAATATGTTGAAGTTCTAACCCCCTGCCCCCATACCTCAGAATGTGACTGTATTTGGACAGAGGGTCTTTAAGGAGGCAATTAAGGTAAAAAGTTCATTAGGCTGAGCCTTAATCCAATATGACGATGTCCTTATAAGAAGAGATTAAGACACGGACAGCCACAGAGGGAAGACTGTGTAAAGACAGGGAGAAAGTGGCCATCTGCAAGCCAAGGAGGAGAGAGGCCTCATGAGAAATCCGCCTTGCCAACACCCTGGGGAATAAATTTCTATTGTTTAAGCTACTTGGTCTCTGGTATTTGGTGATGGCAGCCCTGAAAAACTGATATAGACACCATTTGGGCAAAAAGATAAGAGGCTGCCTCTTTTTACTTGTGGTAAAGGGATTTGATGGGCATAGGGCTGCAGTTTGGGGCATACGCATGATGATTCTGCAGGTACTCTTTCTGCTGGGAATGGCCAGAGAGGAGGATATGAACTGGGATTGGGAACAGTAAAGGATGGAGTTTCTGTGACAGTCTCACACCAATTTTTTAGAGCACAGTTACTTGCTCATCCAATAAATACTCACTGCCCACCTATTATGTGTCCACTACAGTGCTGGACCCTGATGATAAATTGTCCAAAATAAAAGTTCCAAAGTTTCTTCTCCCCACAGTCTCTGTGGATTTCTTCCTGGCCGGTGCACACTGAGTCTCCTTGTTCACGTCCTCTGCGTGAAGCAGTTGTTATCAATCAGCATATTACAGCTTTCCATTCTTTTCCTTTATCTTCCTTTTGTTCTTGGTCTTAACAATGGATAGCAGTCTAGAGTGCTGAGATATTATTTATGCCTTTGCCTTCAGTGCTAGTAGGAGCTTGATGGAATTATCAGTGTTTCTCATGCTTTCCTCCTAAGAAGGAAGCCAATTTTTCTTCTGAGTTTTGAGCCACTAGCCTTAGGGGGTTGTTAAGGGCTTTTGTGCCAGAACCAAAAGGAGAAGTTGTACATGAAAGTGGTGTGACTTGGAGACTGAGTTGATCTCTCTCTCATCTGGAAAATAGGAAT